CACCCCTGAAGAGCTCTCGGTTAAGTTTGCATACAGCTGATGCTAAAACGGATATCGACCGGTATTGTCCTCCAGCGACATGATGGGATGCTGCCCGCCTCCGGATATGCCTGTCACATCGCCTTACGCTGACAGACTTCGCACACAACAGGTAGTATGACAGGCGGTTTGCGTTGAGCCGCATATGTGAATGTTGTACACATCACGGAACAAGACCGGATAGTTAGTTCTTGCGCCATCAGCATGCTCACCGGTGGTCCACAACGATCAAGTCAATTGGAGGCAACTGAGCCGTTAAGACCCACTGCATGCAGAAAGCGATCTGATGACCCGTAGCACTCACAACACTATTGCTAACCATTATTCAGTTTGGTCTGTGTAAACATGTTGACAGTCACTTCTAGCACCGTTTTAGGTCTAACACTATGGATCATCCAAAGTTTTGAGGTAGGCTAGTCGCATATTTAATTCAAAGTTAATTCAAGGTTTAATGGTCTAAAAAGCAATTAACTTTACAACGACCATAGGGTGAACGTATATACACAAAGGGACGCAAAAATATGCGTAATGTTTACTGAGTATCACATGGAGTTAAACAGTTCCAGATTCGGTTTGGACATAAGATATGCATCTAAATTGTTCTTGAAAATGGTTTAACTCGGCGAATGTACAACATTGGGAGGTAGGGAGTTCCAAATGAAACATACACGGACCGCAAAAAAGTTCCGTCGACAGTTCACCCTCGAGTGAGGTACCGCGAGCGAAAAGTCATGCCTCCTGCCCGTTCGTGTTCGACGTCGAACAAAAAGGTCTTCCAGAGGATGATTAGGTGTCTTCAGTATATTATATGTTAGAATTAGGTCTCCCCTGATGCGCCGATAGTAGAAGTCAAATAGGTTGAGACTGGCAATCCTGTCTTCGTATGGTTTATTTTGCAATCCAATTACCAGCTTCGTGGCTCGATGATATATTCGCTGTAGAAGAATTATGTCTTTTTGAAGCCATGGTGACCAAGCTTGTATAGCGTACTCCATGGTTGGTCGGATGTAGGTATTGATTACTCGGGGCAGTGCCAGTCGAGTGAAACGACCAAAAATCCGTTTTAGGAGCGACAGGACTTGTGAGGTCCTCTTGTAGACGGCTGTGCATTGCAAGGAGTTTTTTAAACAGCTGCTGACCCACACGCCAAGATCTTTTTCTTCACTAGTCCAAGAAAGTGGTTGTGGACCCAACGTATAGTTATATGCAAAGGGCTTCCCTACACGGAGCATTTTACATTTTTGGAGGTTAAACGGTAGTCTGTTTTTCAGTGACCAATCATAAAGTGTATCGAGATCTTTTTGTAATCGGTGACAGTCTTCAATGGTGCGTATGCTTGACCATATCTTGATATCGTCTGCGAATAAAGTGATTTTACTGCTCACGAGCTCAGGTATATCGTTTACGTATAATAAAAATAAAGTAGGCCCAAGAACAGAGCCTTGGGGTACTCCACTTGTAGCTGCAATTGGCTTGGACAGAGCGCCGTCAACACATACACGCGCGTCTCGGTCAGCCAAATAGATTTCAAGCCAAGCCAGCAGCTTTCCCGTAATACCATAATGCTCGAGTTTTTGCAACAATATGTTATGGTTCACGCGATCAAATGCCTTGGAGATGTCTAGATAGCATGCGTGAACGGGATTTCCATTGTCCACAGCTTGCGTCCAGTCGTCTAAGGTAATGAGGAGATTGGACAGACAGGATCTGTTTTTTCTGAAACCATGCTGGGCAGCCGAAAGCAATCCGTTTTCCTCTAAGTGTTTAATGATTTTGTTTGCCACCAGTCGCTCAAGCACTTTGGAGATCACCGGCAACAGAGTCACCGGCCGGTAGTTTGACACGACCGAACGATTACCTCCTTTGTATATGGGAGTGATAACGCCCTTCTTCCAGTCGTTGGGAACCACACCGTTATTTAGGGACGAATTGAATAACTCAGCGAGAGGTGTGCATAGGGAATGAGCACACTGCTTGAGGATAAATGGTGTTATCTGATCGGCACCGGGAGATTTTCTGTGATTTAGTTCAAGTAACGTTCGGAGTACACATTCTGGAGTCACAATTACTTCATGTAGGGAGGTGGGCGGTGAGGGAGACATAAACGACATCCGGCTTATATATTCCTTCTGACAGTAAACAGTGGAATAGAACTCCGCCAGTTCTTCAGCTGCAGCTGACGCAGTGGCCGTCAGTCCATTAGGGGTATGCAGAGGTGAAATACCCGGTTTCACAGACGCCTTATTATTAATGATCCAATAGAGAAGCTTCGGATTTTTTTCCATTTTCTCTAAAAGCATTAGCTGGTAATCCTTTTTGTCGCTCGCGACCAGCGTGTTGACTTTATTTCTTAGTAACCGATATTTTTCCCATGTTGTTGTTGTTCGGTGACGTCGGTATTCAGCCCAGGCTGCATTTCGCTCCAGAATCCATTTTCGGGTTCTGCTTCGTAACTTAAAATCGAATCCCATCTGAGTATTCTTTGGAACGAAGTGGGAATGCAAACGTATTTTATTGACCAAGTTCCCCATGAAGCTAGACCATTGCTGGTGGACGTCTGGACCTTCTGAATACCAGTCCGTACAATGACTCAGGGTATTCGACAGTGCTTTCGTGTTCACTTTCCTGATCATTTTAAGCTCATCATTAGGTCTCACCGCCGAACAAACATAATCAAAAATGAGAACGACGTGATCACTCGATCCTAATGGACTTTCATATGCGATGTTTTCCACAACGTTCTCTTCGCTTGTTATGATGAGGTCCAGAATGGAAGGTATATCTGATCCTCTATACCGCGTGTTGCATGATATATGATTGTGAAAGTCAAGATCATGTAACGTCTCCTGGAAGGCACAATCGAGGGAATTTATCGGATGTTGTTGAGTCCGTAGCAAGTTTGGGAGATTGAAATCACCCATAATTAGTATCTTACTTTTATACCGGGAAGCCACGAGGCGCAGCTTCTCCATTATGGTGTAATTGTGCAGTTCCTCCGCTGAAGGTGGTCGATAGATCACACCAACAACACAGTCGTTTCCTGCTACCGTCTTTAACGAGCACCACAAGGTATCCGATAGTATCAAATCTTCATCAGTTAGCTCTTTGCACAATAGTTGCCTGCTATGGTAAATAGCTACACCACCTCCCCGAGAAATGCGATCCCGACGAAGAAGCGTCATTCCAGGGATGGCAAGTTCACTATCCGATAAGTGTGGCTGGAACCAAGTCTCGCTGATAGCAATCAAGTTTGGCAAATGCTTTTCACACAATTCAGATAATTCTGGAATCTTGTTAGTCAAGCATTGCGCGTTCGTGTATAAACATTTAATGGTGTTTATTGACAGCAGTGTTGGGCAGTACGCAAGATAATGTGCAGGTTGGGCGGTTATAATTGTGCCGACCCTGGCAGAGTCGGCAGCTGGTCGTTTTTTGAAGTTTCACCTACGGCTTCATCTTCATTAACCTTGGTCTCTTCTGTGGGTATATTGTTCCGCATGGATGTGCTTATCCTTAACTCCCTAGGGAGTAAGTTCCTGTGACGTTGCCATTGTGTTTGGATTAAGTTTAGCATATCACCACGAAGTAGTGTGAGTTTCAGGGGCCTCGGGCCGGTACCCAAATATTTTGGTGATTTCGGAATCCGATAAGTATCAACCACGGCCACGTTTTCAATTTCAAGTGTACTGCATAGAAATTGCCACTGCATGTAGTCGTGTGTGTTTTGCGCTATTTTATCTGACGTTTTGTTGGGTTCCGGAACACCCAAGATGATCAAACTGCGGTCATTTGTATGTTTGTTGGTTGAGTTTGTAGGATGAGGTGTATTTTTGCGCGATCTTTCCGACCACGGTATATCAGCGAAAATCCTTTCGCCATTGTCAGCTTCCCCCTAAGTTGGAATGTTGATAATAGAATGTTCTCCAGGTCTTTCTCGGTATCAACGGTAACTCTGAGAAGTCTTGCTTACCTTTATGTGGCGAATTCGGTGGTCGACTTAATTGTGTTAGGGAAACTGGTTCGATAGGTTTTAACTTCATTTTAGCGCAGTTTTAACCACTCCTCCAGTTCGCGCTTGTGCCTCGCTTGGAATAACGTATCGCAAGATTCTGTGACATTAGTGCAAATAACACTAAGTCCCGATGATGCTTTCCGGTTATTACTGAGCGACATAGTTTTGGATTCAATGGCCTTTTTTGACGTTGTGAAATACATACAGAATTCAATACAATAAAACGCGATATACTGAAGTTTGGTATAAAATGAGAGAGAATATAGAGACCAACAAAAGGCAAACCCATACACAACTAATATAGCCTGGAAACTCAAACCAGTGGCTTTCAGGGGCGAACCAAACAATGTTCCCATGAGTTTGGGCAACAACGACGGATGCCCATCATGGACATACGTGACTATCGGTCAACGTGTCTGTTGGCTGGGTAGGTGTGGAAGACCTAAACACGTTACAAGTTACAGTCATACGATGTACGTTCCACCTACAGTTCCCGTTAAGTGTGGCGACGTCTACAGAATGCTGCTCCTCGCCATACGAAGTCCCAATCTAACTAAAAGGGTGGTTCGCACTAGTGTTATATTGAGGCTACTTCCACCCAGTTAGCGGCTGCAGCTAGGCCCATACACAGAATGCGTTCACCTCTGTCGACCGCTATATTCTGATCTCTGCAACCCGTCAGGGTTTAGCCACTGTTGTCATAATTGTTGGCCATAATGATGGCGGGTGACTGTTTCCTCAAGCAATAAACGATCAATGAATGTTCGGCTAGCAAACACGGAAACGGGGTTGAATTATTCCACGGATTATTATACATTAGTAACAGCTACAGCGGCTCTAGGTAGTGATTAAGATGTCCGTTAAATTAGTAAAATCGTGAAACCATATCGTATCAAACATGCTGGCTACATTACCTCCATCTGATCAACGATATGCAAGAAAATTATACCCATGGATGAGTTTTTCTCACAGAATCCAACGATAATCATATTCAAAAAAGAACAAATTACATCTCTTTCAACAACACAAAGGTTAAAGAACCAGTTCACAGGGAGAAAACGAGTTTCGGTGGACGCTAAGCAATTACTAGACATGATGTGGCGGGGGAGTGTGACAGTGCAATTTACTTGGGCGTGAAAGGCGGGTGTGGCAACGGGCGACTTATACACATGTGCACCCACAACAGAGTCACGAAGACAGGACGATGGGCTCTGACGAAGAACGGGTGTGAAGGATATAGTATTTACCGAATGTTCATGTGTGAATGGGAAAGTTGGAGAACGGACGGCGGTTATGTTATGGTTGCCCAGAGAAGAGGTTGGAGATGCAGGATGCACGCATGTGTGAAGGAAGAAAACGGACTAAGGCTGGTAAGCATCCATCGGTTTTGCTGGGAAAAGACCTCCGGTTTCCGTAGGACCTGTGTCAAAGCGTGGTACTCCAAATGTTGGCGATGTATCCGGGGTCAATCGAGCTGGCTGTCCAACATCCAGCATATCCGCGTCATGAGTGAACCCATGATATGTATTTTGTGAACTAGGAGCAGGATACTCGTTGAAGTTGGCGACGTCGGCAACCAGCAATTTCACTGCAGTGTAGGCCAAACTGCACATGTATACAAGGATAGCCTATGAGGAGGGATGGAGAAAGGTATAAGATGAAACACCAAAATTAGCTATGTGAGTAGATAACGAAATTGAAGATGCGGTACATCAGAATAAACTTTAGTGACATCATCAACGACAGCGACATCAAAAGTGAAAGAAGGAAAACAGAGTGGACGATGGAGGGACCCGGTGTTAGCAAGCATTCCGAGAGGTCTACATCTCAGTGCCCATTCAGGCAATCTGGAAACACGAACATCACTGACATCGATTGACCGCCATTTCCTGTAATGTCACCAACCAGGCGCACGGTGGTCGTGGGGACCCCAGCCTGGAAAACGGGGAGCGCGCCAATAACACCTAAACTCTTCGTAACCGCTTGTGCCAAGTCACACGTCGTCCATCTAACAATTTATGTCGTCCTGAAGGAAACACGGAGAACAACAGTCGTATTGATAAGTGGTGTTTCGATACTGTGATCCTTGGTAGTTTCGTTGACAGGTGGCTTCCGAGTGCAAGTCGAACGAATCAAGTGGAACAATTTGCGGATGCTTCTAGCAGTTTTTCATTCTATCCTTTCCTTTCGAATCCTCCAAGCTTCCCGGTCTGTACGGACACTCAGTATTACCCAACGTCGGATTAGTTGTTGCACTCGGGACTAGGAGGAGCCTATCGCCGGGCCTCTAGAAAACCTTTGGCCCTATCAAGGTAAGGTTGGTTGGGTTGCACCGCAAATGGGAGTTCAGGTATCAAGTAAGACTTTGGATACCCGCCTCTAGTGGTCGTTAACATACGATGTCAGAGGAGCCAGTCTTTATGAACTTGTTGGACTTCTGGAACCGCAAACTCCCTAATTGCTAGGCGGTGTGCGTTTTGTATAGACGTGAAAAGCAGCCACAGACAAGCGCCTGGTTGGGGTTCAAACGTATGTTCCAAAACGAGTAGCAGGCAGTGATCGATCCTCGCCACCGGTAACTGATGGCGATATGGTCTATTTGAATTCGCGGCTGGTTCGTTGGTGTGTAACACCTAGTCAAGCGATTTCCGCTGTTTCGGAGACGGGTAATGCGGAGGAAGTCTGTAATCAGTACACACCCGTATCAGCCACTCTACATTGTATTCAACCCAAGCGTGTTAGCAAGAGCCACTTGCTGTCCTACTTGCCTCAGTGTGCGAACATTAAAGCGGACGTGTTTTCGGGGTTTGAAAACTGAGTTCGAAGAATTTAGGCTTGCTACTGAAGATGGACACGCAGAAGCTATAGATGGGCGTGACGCATTGTGAACGGGTGGGTCCCAGTGCTGGGACCTACAGAAAGAGTATTCAAATAGGCGTGGGGTAGGATAGAAATGAGAATATATGAAAGCGTAAGAAGGGGGGCATCAATAGTAGTATGTTTTCACCTTTTTGCACGCAGAAAGTAAGGCTGATGACATAATAAGACGGCCTATGTGGCATGATATTTTTAGTTATGAAGCTGAGGGTTGTATGACTGCTGGAATACCGTCACGGCGACTGCACTTATAGAGGGGGACTATTAAGGACCTCAACGAAAAACCTGGGTTCAAAAGCCTGGCAGTGGATGGGTGCGTACAACTTTTTAAGGAATGAGACGCCGTGGCTGTTCCAAACCGCAACCTGGAGCACCAGAAGTCTGTGTTTGTCAGACTCTATCCACTGGCCAACCTAGTCAGAGAACCTATGGGGTGTCAGAGTAAACAAACAGACCTAACTCGGGGGGTCGCGGAGGTACACAAACAGCTGCACCACAATAATGTCTCATCTTTTTTCAGCATCCTGTAGTGACAAGTTCGCATAAAATAGTACGCGATAATCACTTACACGTGCATAGTTATAGGCTTAGTGATCCAGTTCGAATGATATCAAGGGTAGTGGCATCGAAACTTGGAGTCACCCACGTCACTCCTAGTAAAGACTGTTTTCACGCACAACGCAGCCAGATAAGGTAATAAACTATCTATACAAATCGTTCACCCGATAAGTTTGCCTGGAAACGGCCCTGAGAAGCGGGCAAAGTGGCTCTTTTATTCCTGTTACTCCTCCAGCATGAATATTTCAACTCGTTCGCATAGAACATTCGAGTCTGTCGTCACAAATATGAACCAACTCAAACCTGGATCTCCTATTACTCATTAGGTAAAGGAATATATAGGAATAAGAATATCGATCATGTCATACTGTGCATGGGACCGAGGTGGGTTTCCAAATGAAAGGTGTGAATCGTGCCTGCGAGTTGACGTCAATGTGAGTCTCCAATCGCAATGAAGGTATACAATGCTGACGTGACTCGAGGGTAATGTGTGAACTAACTTGTTCGCTCATTAAACATTTCGAAACACAAAACTTTTAACAATTATAAGCAAGTGCTTAAGCTGGGTGAAATAAAAAAGTAATATTTTAAACTAGGAGGTACAGACGTTCCGTCGAGCTGAATGAAAAATGCAAAAACCCTTGGAAACTGAAAGCAGTTCACTGGATTCTGGAAGAAGAAAGTGAATGGCACTTTCCGAATCTTTTCAAAACAGAAAGGACGTCGGTACATCCTTCTAAACCTATCTTCCGTTACGCTGTTTATCTGACAATTCCTTCAAGACGAATCAATCACCCGCAAATTTTTAGGAAAAAAATTCGGACTCATGCTATCCCGAACTATCTGAGATACGTCTTTTGAAGAATTAGAACAGAACTTGAAATCCTCCATCGAATAGTGCAAAGCAAATGATACATACCAAGCAATTTCGTCAAACTTTCAAGGAAACTGGTTGCTGTAAGATCAACCACATTGAAACTTATGAGTATTGCATTGTGTCACAGTTCTAGAGTTAACTTGGCCTAAGGCTTTTGTCCGACACAGTACCCTCAGATGCATGTGGGTGCTATGATATTGCTTGGATTGGAGCCCTCAGCTTATGGATACTCTAGATTTATTGTGAGCAAACTTGGACCAAGTTGTCACTGCAGATTATCCTGTTTCTTTGGGTTTCAGTATCACCATTTCAACAAACTCCGAAGCGACTAGGTGGTCATTTGGGCGCTATCGATTCGCTCGCCGAACTCAATCAGTTTGCATTAGTCCATTTTTACCTCTGGCGCGCACTGTCCCAGTCGCCTGAAACCGAAACTCAATCACCCGAATCGATTGGGTTATGTTCCCACTGCCAGTAAGATGAGAATGCTTACCATCTTGGATCAATTAGATGAGCCAACATGAGTGATCCTAGCCAATAGCTTTTCCACAATCCCTCGACCGGGTTGCCTACCGACATAAACGAACTCAGTAGCTCAAATACCCCCAACATAAGCCCCATCCGGGCCTCAATTATCAGCCGAATCATTCAAATTTTCACATATTGTAGACGGAAAGTGAATGTAATTGTGCCATAATAAATATTTAATGCTATTACGACCCGTGTACAGCCATTCAAAATGAAACCTAGAAGATCGAGGGTTTATTACGAGCTGTGAATACATCAATTTCACGAATGCACCAGGCATCCTGTTGTTCTGAAAAGTACAATTTACTGAAGGCGAGTCTCGGAAATGTGTGGAAGTGTGATAGGCGTTCTAGTTAGTTTCAAACAAATATTGACTACCTGCTGTCAATAAGCAACTTCCGGTGTGAAACAGCTTCAACGAGCCGACTGACTTGTTCGAAGTACATTATTTGAATTAAACAACGAATCTTACCAAATACTATTCAGAGCTAGTTACTGGCGAAAACAACTGCACGGAACACACTTGGTTGATTCATCTATGTCGATCAAACAGGCCTTATGTTGCGGGGCTTTTCAGCCTCTTACTAGAAAGCTCACGCCTGCACAAGTAGTTGCTAAATACCTAAGAGAAAAGATGATGTGTAATGCACAGACGAAACACTGGCTTATATAACCACTGTACAAGTACGCTGATAATGATAATGATGATGCGCCAGGAAAAGTAGTTAGTTCAAAATATCCGTTTGACGTATATCGAAGTTTGATACAGTTAAATGGACCAGTTTGTTGCGCAACACATGATCAGGTGGATGTGACCTTCTTTAAGAAAACAGACAGGATGATCACCATAAAAGGCACCTATGCCTGAAAAACCGTTGCAACGCTCAAGGCACTATATATCCAACCCGTGACACTAACTACAGTTTGTCAGTCAGGAGCCCACATCAGCTCCCAGGGTTCATTTAGAGTCAAAATAAATGGTTCACGAGTTGATGCGGCAGATTTGTTCTAGCCAATACGCCAAACAGTTTAGAAGAGCTCAGTTAGCACTCGTCATCTATACTATGAACATGAAGAAGCCGATGGAATGTGGTCATATGGTTCATAACACGAAGGGACCAAAAGCCAGTACCAGACCCAACAACACGGCAACAGTAATAATAGTAATAATAATAACAATAATAATAATCGTTCAGTTGCAACCTCCTTTTGGTGCCTAGCTGCCATACCACCCAAGGGAAGTGCGAGGACTGAGAAACTGTCAGGTTACCCAAGCCTAAACGGGAACAGTTAAGATGGAGTTGGGTTCGAACCAGGGACTTTACGGTCAATAACGACTGGACCAGCTTGAGTTCAGTATGTGTCTAGACAGAAATTCAGTCAAGACTCCACCATCACCTACTGTGATAATATAAAAGGCTATGAAACTCAGCGGCACACTTGGAACAGCGGCCTCGGATTGCGCGCACCTACTTCCTGATATATGTGCAGTTTGATGGCTCGAAGCAGCCAAATAAAAAAATCGTTCAGCTGCTACACCATTCCGGCGCCTAGCTGCCGTGCCACCCGAAGGAAGCACGACGGCTGAGACACCATTCCGCTAGCTGCCGTGCCACCCGAAGGAAGCACGACGGCTGAGATACCGTTGGGTGGCCCAAGCGGTCGAGATGCAGCGGTTTGGTTGGAACCACGGACTTTCCGTTCGCGACTTAACCTCGAGCTCCGAAGCAGCCAAAACTACCTGGAAAACAGCTTTGTGGATAAGAGCTACGCCAGATTAATTGAAGTCCATAGACTACTTACTAACCTCATCAATCAACTCAATCGCGTTGGTAAATGTCGTTTCCCGGGATGGGAATAGCGGAACGAGACCCTGACAGGTATGGCTGTGTGCGACCAACAGCGGTCTTGCGTCAAAGTTATCGCCTTCACTGCGTGGCACTCACATCCTACCATACCAGACAAATACAACCATGTGAAGTCAAAGAACTGATTGGGTCATCGCCTGTGGCGCTTGGCACTCAAAGAACGAAGCTGTATCAGCTGAAACCAATGCACTTCGGTGCACAGTTTGTAAGCCGAAAAACCGAACTGAACAGAGCAGAACGGAATTACACAGCCTCCATCTCGCTGAGATCCCGCCTGAGCCTCATGAGGCAAGGATTCAAGTGCCGTTAAAAATCTTAGAACAACGAGAGTCAGACTAAAAACTCTGTTTGTCAGTCCCTTTTGAAAATGGGCACTACCATCCGCTTAGCCCAGTTGGTTGAGTTGGTGTTCACTCAGCTGAACGCAACTAGACTACATAAGGTAACACTATTGTATATGGCGAGTGGGATTCCCAGAAACATGAATGACGAGATGTATATATCTACTTCCGAAACTGCAGACTCCATATTCCCTGAGGACCGGCAGTCCGAGTAAAAAGCAGCAGGCTGACAACCAAACAGACAGTCAAAGAATTCAGCCCAACGGTTCAATTGTTTTTCTTTGCTAGGGTTTGGGATCAACTGTGGTTCTTAATGACTCCGCTTGAAAAAGAAGTTCCGTGGCTAGCTGGATGAATACGGCAAAGCAGCCTGTCGGCCTGTCACCAGAACGATGCCCAGACCTCTGACCCGCAATCACGGGGCTGATGGGGCATCGTAGTAAAGGCCTTCGACGGTTCTCTGGAGTGCAAGCAGACATGGATTTGTAGCCTTGAGAAAAAGGAATGCTGGAGAACCTGTCTCATAAGTGCTTCCATTCTGCATTCCCAATAAAGACAGAATATACGTCAAAGCACAGGGTACGAGGAAATGGAGTTTGTTGCTCTGGATGTTTCAGAGTAAGGACATCGAAAGCATCTTAGTAAACCGAGAGTCGGAATTGGAAACTGGGCCTAGGGATGTCCAATGCTGCTAGGTTAGGTGATCGAGACTGTGCCAGTGGTTAAGACGCCAGATCACGGTTCGTGGTTCACACCCGATCTCGGCATCTCGACTGCCCCTGTCTAGGCTGGGGCAATCTGGCAGTATCCCAGCCCTCGTGCCGTCTTTCGTTGGTATGCCAGTTAGGCGCCAAAAGGCTGAACGATTTGATTTGATCTGAGAATGGGGAGGGGATTATGGTCCCAGTGGGATTGTGACGTTTGCTAGTGTAGCTGATCGACTCCAAGCATCAAAAGTAAGATATGGACAACAAATTCTGCACAACTAGAGGGACAGATGATAAACTACAGTCGTTTGCTTTCGTGGAGTCGAACAGAACAGTCAAATGTCTATAAACCGCACACCGTGGCTTCAAAACAGAAGCGGCAACACACCAGCCAGACAGGAAAAGAATGCGGTATACCATAGTGAAACACTGGTTGCCCAACTGAACAAGTTACAGGGGCAGGTTGGCTGGTTAGTTGACCTCCAGATGAGCAGCCATTTGAGGGTACAGGAAAGAGTAGATGGGCTAGATGGGTGGAAAATGTATGTTATTCGCACACACGGGGAATGAAATGCAGAATAAAAAACACGCTACGGGGTAGACCACATTGTGCAAGCCCAACCATAGCGTTCCGGAATAATCATCAGAGACAGTAACATCAGTGTTAACACTGATACCTCACTACCGTACATCCACAAGGTTTCTCTCAAACGCTCAATCACACAATCTGGAAAGAAACCGACAGCGGGAACGCCACCAGTATCGATTGGCCGATATTCTTTGCAAAGTCTCCAAAGAAACACAGGGGGAGGCCACGGGGACCTGAAAGGCTGTCCGCACCAACAAAAGTGAAGGACCACGTGATATGTCCCATACCTTTCTGCCAAGTCGCACGCCATCCACCACGCACTTTGTGCCCTTCTGAAGGAGGCGCGCAGAACACTCGCTTTGGTAGATGGTGATTCGATATGCGTAACACATTACCACGCTACTTTAATTGATGTTGTTGGATCTATTCCGAAACTGAACATCCGTTTTCTAGTTAGCTCGTTACGAATTCAACGCCATTCGATGCCAGCAACACGTATATCACCGGTCAAATTCCTGACTAAACCCCACATCACCTCTCCGCAGAGACTGCATCTCGCAACATCACAGCCCTTATTGTAGTGGTATGCCTTTCTGACGCCACAAGCGATACAAACTGGTAAACGTGACTCACGCTCCAATTCGTGCACCAACTTCATTGAACACACTACCGTCAAACCTAACACAACTACTGAGGTAAAATACTCCACACCTTCCAGTGCAACCCCTTCAATTTCAAGAGGAATATTCAGAGGTTGAACATTCTGAGGCATGGCTCCACACTACGCAAGTGCAAGGCACATACTAGATTGCATTATGGGGGTAACTTTATTCAACAAACACTGGTATTTCGAGGAATTGGGTTTATAGGGCAAACGTTTTCTGATCCACCCTTCTTCGCAGAAGATAGCATTGCCGCTTCGATTATTATGGAGATACTGGCCGCCGAATGAATAACTTATTGCCTTCAAACTCCTATCGGCGACCTTACCTCTGGACCATCACGTAATAAGGTTTCTCGCAGTACGGAGGGCTACTGTTTTTCGTCGGGCTGCCTCCTGCTGGTATTCTTGACACAGATGAACCTTAAGGAACTGAATACCGGCCAGTGCAGCCCGTAGATCATTTCGGCACTGAAGCCCAACCACCACGACATGGTGACAACGTTAGGCCAGGCGTGACTGTTTGCACTGCTGAAAGCTGAACAGCGCAATGAAAGGCAGCAATGAACTGACGCATGGCCGGAATCCACAGCGATATTCCAGAAGGTAAACAGTGATTAACCATCGTCATCGGTAACTAACAGTTCGTGACTGGTTCGTTACAGGGCGTCATGTAGCCAAACGATTTCTGATATTCCGGAAATTTCTGCTACAGGAGAGCAGTCTATGATCGACACACCTGAAGCAGATGTTCTATGTTGTCCGTCCGTCCCATGATCAATGCAAGACGACCAGCCAATTGAGCTGCCGGAATACTTAGCATATCGAACTGAGCCTTTAATTTGCCACTAATCACAACGTGGTCTGAGGTTTTAGCCAGGTGTAAAAGAACACCTGCAGCGTCGGAAAAACTGTCTCTAGCAGATTCATAGTTACAGTCCGTCATGAGCAGATAAAGTGAATATGGAGCAAGGGACCTTTCTCGAGATCCGGTCACAGATATCACACGAACAGCTCAGAGGCGACTATCAACGGATGTCCAGTTTCGTAAGGATGCACAGCCAAGAGCAACAGGACAGCGATGGGACAGTCAGCTCAATTAGAGTGCATGCGTCTTGGGTTCTTGTTCCTGCCATTTTTACGCATCAATGCAGAAGAGTCCGGTTCACGAGTGAAAGTTGTTGCTGTGCGAACTCCAGATTGCGAACACTAGAGGTAGCAAGGTAAATCGGATTTGGGAGGTCGAGAATTGATTTCAAAGTGTTCATGACTGTTACCGAAAACGGATGCGCACAATTTGTCACTACAGGTGATGCAAAACGAGCAAAGCCATCAGTCTTGTTGCTGGGACCTTCAGAGACAGTGCTTAGAGTGGGGCAGAATAATAATAATAATCGTTCATCTTTAACATCCTTTCGGTGCCTGGCTGCCGTGTCACCCGAAGGAAACACAAGGGGTGGGATACTGCCAGGTTACCCAAGCCTGGATAAGAGAAGCCGAGATGGCGGGATGGATGAGAAGGAACACGTGAAAGTGTGAAGGGGTGTGTGTTTCCGCTTACCCGCCCTGTTGTATATAGCTAAGCGACAGTCGATGTGGTATTTTTGGTTGCGAAGTTCATGGTTGTGTGCGATGTTGTTATGATGTCCATACCTAAATAGGAGGGCGATCACGACCATCAGCCAGGGAAGAATATGACATAGATTAGAGTGGAATTTACAGATCTGTCAAAACGTTGGAACGGTGAAAAAGGAGAGCGCGAAAGCGTAAGGGGACGTCCACAGCACGGCATATTCACTTTTCTTGCATCTGTGTATCAAAGGTCAGGCGACCTGGCTGACGACACTGTGCGAAGGGTCAAGATGGTCAAATTGATGAAGAACCGGTGACTTGACAGCTACAGATGAATATTATACAGAGAATGCTTACAGCCATTGATATGACCTCGAGAAGGAATATAGAAACTGTGCCAGACAATTAGTCGATCCGCCTGGTACGTGAACTGTCAAGCTCGATGCAGAGCTACGGACTACATACAAACCTGGTATCGCCATAATGAAGTGAAGTGTGTAAATCAGACATTTCTGCGATGAGAGATATGGGAGATGTTGTTCCTGATGCTGACGATGATGAAGACTATTGTCACGACTGTGGTGATGGTTTATTTCCCTGCTTGTATGGTTGGACAGTGGTGACAGCGACTAATGACGTCGAAAAACTGATATGGACACCTCTGCTGGAAAATCCGTTAAGAATTCATACAAGGCCACAGAGGCCAAGCTACGCCAAACTCCAAAGACTGGTTGCCGAAAGATGCGTGGACGAATGGTGAATGTGCAGAATGATGCTGACGCTGGATCACTTACCAAATCAAAAAGAATGAAGAAAGTAAACGCAATGGTGACTCGCGGACCAACTGGACCAATATCCCAGTGTTTGAGGAATGCTTCCGCCGTATTTTGCCAGCGATTACAAAACAAGCAGAAAACAACGAACCACAGGAATGTCAACGCACCTATAGTGAGATAAAAGTGGAGATTATGTTTAAACATCAGGGGATCATGCACAGAAAACTATCTAGATAGAGTAAATACTGCACCAAAGAGGAGACCACCAAAAGCTGCAAACGTAGCGGTGTTTTATGCGGCCCTCCGTTTCCTCAAAAAGTGCCAGGAACTTGGGGTGTCAGTAAACGAATTCCATTTACTTTCAAAATACTGACAAAACCGAACCCGTCTAAACTAAACGACGATGCCAATCCAGAATGTGAAAAGATAGTCTGTGAAGTGAAGTTTTAAATACTAATTTGAAGGTGTAGACCTCTGTTTAGGAACTGAAGCGAACACTCACGAAGGTCGTGCCCTCCAAGGTAAACTACGATCTTTTGATGCTATCCGCACATGCTCGCGCACGAGCATCGCAGCATGTATGTCGAAATCCTCCCCTCTCCTACCCGGCGAAGCATGCTGTGACATGAAGTCTATCAAAGGATTATCAGTAACCACGCAACACAATCAACAATAGCGGTAAACTAGTGAAGTGAACTCGAGAGAGATAAGCGATCAAACAGACAAATTTATGATTGGGAAGTCCATGGTTCGAATTCAACCGCGGGTATCTCGACCGCTCCTATCTAAGCTTGCGCAATTTGACAGTATCTCTACTCTCGTGTTTCTTTCGGACTACATTGCTGCTAAGCACCGAAAGGGCATCGGAGCTGAAATATTACTTTTTATACTGATTATGTTGGCATCTGACATCCACAACGTTAATGACAACTTTCTCGGCCATCATATCTTGTTATCTCACTCGCACGATTTCTTCAGGCACCATCAGGCCAGAAGTTCGATTTCTGGCATGCAAACAGGGTAAACCTTAACATCGATAATTTCGGCATAGTCTGTGTCATCGTCCCACTGACAAGACATAGATTCTGGCAACAGTAGTCAGACGAAAAATTCCACGCAACTTTTTACAATTAGATGACATTCAGTAGCCGAGTTAAACAGGCTAAATCAGGTGACTTTAGGAAAATGAGCTCTCCGTAGTAGCAGGAGTCTAGCATGCCACCAGCCGACGGTTATTGTAGTCTGGTGGCGTAATGACGCTAGAAAATGCTATTGATATACTTTATCTGCTGTCTACTTCAACTTCACCTGAATACATTATCTACTCTAGGACATTCAAGTATTTTTGCTCTTGTGATGTTGCGAACTCACACTCTTTGAGACAACTTCCCGTAATAATCATGCGCACCAATTTTTTCACAAAAACACCAACTCAGAAGGGCTGCGCTGTCCAGTTTCGAAAGAATACGACACGGCGGATATTACCAATAGGAAAATTTCGTGAGAGCTCGAAAGAGAATGGCGTTAGAACGAATGCTAGCTTAGTCTCCGTCAACAAGAGACTGGACCTGACCGTGGTGTGACAGTTTGCACACCTCAGCGACCCATTGGACTATACTGGGAGTGTTCCCGCGACACTCACAGAGTTTCTTACACCAGGTTGGTCCATGGTTGGAGATATGACAAACGCAGTCGCCCGGTGCTCCAAGTTGGGGGTTGGAACATGGGTGGCAACTTGGTCCGTAATTTTCCGCCAAATACCACTGCCTTGCGGACAGGCTATTGAGCCAATCGCTTTGGCTGAGAACCCTAATAGTCCCCCTGCCTAGGTGTGGGCGCCCTGATATTATCCCAGCCCACGTACACCCACGAGTTGCACATTCATGGATAGACTCATGCCACATCGGCAGTCGCGTGGTGCCGTCGGCTGGGTCGCCTTGTCCACTGCGAATAGCATGGAGGGTAAGCGAAAATGGCAACTGCTGAGGCCTTCCTTCTTTCGCATCCACATAGCTTTTCTCCCGCCTCCCCCACCCCTCCATTTAGGCACAGCACTTGAAACTGGTGACTCCGTTTGTAATGCATCGGTTTTGCAAGCAAAATTTCCGCGTCATTCGGCGCCCACATCCTCAGGTATCGCGAAGCCAATCTACAAGCCTCGACACCCAGTCTATATAGCCGCCTTCGTGTCCGCACTCTGAAGCAAGCAGGACACCTAGCTGCTTTTGCTCTCATACTGGACACTCTTGGCATTGCTGTGTGCTGTATTTCGGGAACAGGAGCTGAAGATACCAGTACGGTGGTTGAGAAAACCGCTAGTCACAGGCTGTTTTACGCAGTAATGACTTCCGAAATACTCGAACTCGTCTGGCTACATGGCGTTCTCCAGCGAGGTGCTGGCCACGAATTCAAATCGATCGCACTGATACGATGGCTCGTATCAATTACTAACTACGGGTTGTTTTTGGGACACATTTGTGGATTCCGATCATGTGCTCGTTCAGAGTAGCTTCTCCTTTCGTTTTTCAGCACCGTGTAAGGTGGGGACGAATCGCCTGGTAGATCCGGATGTTAGACGAATTTACCAGAATTGCCTTCTAAAATCCCATCCAAATGCTCAACCATCAGATGTGAATTCATACGGAGACCAGATTGCCACCTCTTTGCACAGTGCTGGGAGTTTTTTCTGTGGCACGGCATTACCAAGCCCACCCAAGTACTGGATATTAGACCGAACATTGGCACTGCTTAAATCTCGGACAAATATCCCAGCAGTTCCCTAACATCACTCGAAGCGACGAATCATCAGAAATGCGGAAAATGCAGAAATGTGGGAATGAGTATGCGAGCAGACCGCGAAGTGTGGTGGACACAGAAAGCTGGGAATGCCCAAAGATTATTCCAGTGTGCGACCAGTCCCCGGAAACCATCAACGATGGGAAGGAAGTGACCATCTTGAATAAAGAAAGCCCCGACCGTTGAGCCGAATACTTCGAACAACAGTTATCGTGGCCACCAGCTGACACACAGTTGACGTAGAACCCTGGAAGGCCAACGTGGAACCACCTACGTCCTCGAAGGTTTATGACTGCATATGCTCTCTCAAGCGCCACCGAGCTTCTGGTCCGAATAATCTCCCACCTGCATTATTCAAAGATGGGGGCGACGTCCTCAGTCAGCACCTGTCTGCTGTTTGTCTACATTTAGGAAAATGAGACAGTCCCGTTCCATATGGTACCAACAACTTTCGTCAGATGGGTCACCAGGGATTCTTCGCATTCTTTGAAGAGGGATGGATACAGACCGGATACAGTCCTGGTGCCTTCTTACGTTTTACTACAGACAATTAGTACTTTATTTCTTCTTCCGAAGAGCGATTAAGGTTTACATTCCATTCGTCCGCATGTATTATCTCCACAGGTTGTGTTGCAGGAAGCCAGCTGAACTGTTCTACGAAGTGTTCGGCCTATTTTTCTAGTCGACGTTTTTGCGAGTGAAATAATGAACAACCTTTTTCACTTATCGTTTCGCTGACCGTCGCTTTCCTTGGACCAGTCGATCGTATCACTTGATATAGGGCGCCACTGTTTCCCGTAGC